TTTATCTATCTTCAATCTATAAATTTTGCAATTGCCATATTTGGGTGCCTCATATTCAATGATCAGAGTGATGGATCAGCTGCTGTTGTGCAGTACTCTGTCACAATGGGGTTCTGTTCAATGTAAGTCAGGTCATGGTAACAACTTAAAAGTGTTACCTCTGGGGTACTCTGAACTTGAATGAGTTTAGTTTGTTTCAGTTATAAATCTACACTGAAAAGGATGAATATACAAGAAATACACATTGAATTGGTTTATGCCAGTTGTAATAGTGGATGAATTTTTTTTTGGATCATGCTCTCAGTAACCATTTTAACTGTCTCAGTTTTTTTAGTTACAAATTAATTTCTTAGCTACTGTCTAATTACTGGCTGTCATCTTTGTGCTTTTTGACCATTGTTTTCAATCCCATTTAATGGGCTTTGAGATTAAGCTTTTGCCAGATAATGCTGAACAGCATATAGGGGCTGTAAACCAGATAGAACCCATCCCTGGGGAATACCTTGATAAAAAGGATTCTCTGATGGCCTATATCTAACAGAACGACTTTGTATCCCCACTCTCCTACAGCATCTGGTGATGCACCGAAGGCATATCTGGGACTGAGAATTGTTGTGAAAGCATGCCAGACTCTGGTTTCTACACTTGCAGAAGAGTTCCTAGTGAGCTGTTGGAGCCAAGTTAAGTTAGAGCAGTCTTGATGCTGGATTTCAGTTTTGCTTTTTGATCAGAACAGGGCACATATAGCCTGAAGTAAGTGTCCACATACAGATTTGCACCAAAATAACAACATTGACATTGATTTAGTTATTTTGGTGCAAGGCTATGTGTAGATCAACCCTTCATTTAAAAATTCCCTAGTTAAAGTCTAAACTTAAAATTGCAGCAGTCTTGAATGCAGGGAAGGAATGTGAGGAATGGCTTGATTGTGCAATTTACACACAGTCCTATGCAGGGAAGTTAATATGGTTAGGATCTGTTGTGGGAAGTTGCCCAACATCTGTTTGTGCTGTGGGTGGGATACAATGATGTTGGTGATCCCTCACTTTCATCAACCCCAAGCTCTCCTACAAGTATATAATATCATCCGTATTATCACTCCTGTGTCTCACAGAACAGATGTAGTTCTTGTCCAGATTCTACGGTGGTGTACATTGGAATAGCTCCATTGACATTCATGGAACTTCAGCAGCTTGCATCATGTGAGAATCTGTCTCACTGGTTAGCTAACAAAGGAATTGTCCTCAGTATTTAAAACTCTTAAGTTTGAGTATTTATTTCATTCTGGCGTTGGAGGGGCGGGAGGAGGGGTGACTGCCCAGGGCAACATGGTCAAGGGACAAAGAGTGGGGTATCCCAGGGTGCAAGGCTGCAGAAAGGAGCATGGAGCAATAGGGGTGGAGAAGATAGCGGGAAGTTGGAATCTGGGGAGGCAGCAGGGGCCGGGGCATTTGGGAGGAATGGGGGAGGGCGGCAGTGGGGACCAGAGGCACCAAAATACAAGCTTGCTCAGAGCCCTATTTTCCCAAAGTCAGCCATGTTTCCATACATATGTAGATACTAGTCATTCTATTAATAAAATTTAGTCCTCTAAGAGAATCCATACTAAAGACTAAATGCGCTGGGTTTTGATCTATAAAGATTGAGAGTTCTGGAGTTTGAGAGATGTGGTAATTTTGTACTACTTTGCCTTAAGTGGAGGTAAATCTGGGACCTTCAGAAGTACAGCTGTTTGAAATCTTATACTTCAGTGAGAAAAATGTTCTTATTGTAACCTGTTGTTGAACTATGAGAATTTAAATCCCCAGGATCCCACCAAATAGATTAAAAAAATTGTTTTTAGAATTATCCTACAGATTGTTAAACTTGACTTATATACAAGCTTCCATTTCAGTGGTATTAGGTATTTGAGAAACAAAAATATTTCAGAAGCTTTGAAAATTCTACAAAAGTGTGTAGACTTGTGAAATAGCCATCTGGACGATACTTAACTGCCCTGTCTAAATGGTTTTACTCTTTTTATTAGGTGGCTACTAATGGGATCATTGCAGTGAATGAACCATCAAAAGAAGAAGAATACCTTAGTCAATTTCCACTGAGTTTTGGAGGTATTGCTCCATTTTTGGCTGATCTGGACACTACAGATGGACGTGGGAAGGTCTTTTATAGAGAAGATTCGTCCCCGGATGTCTTACAGCTTGCTGCAGACTATATTCAACAAGGTTTCCCCAACGCCACTTTTGATCTAAGAAGTGTTGTCATTGTTACCTGGAAGTTTGTGGCTCCTTACCATGTGCCTGGAGAAGACCCTACTCTGGAAGACAAGGTAAATGTTAGACAGAACCCCAATATAGACCAAGTACAACAGAAGTGTTACTCCAGGGTCTGTTGTTTTTAAATGTCAGCAGTAATATTTCATACTTCAAAAAGGTATTTAAACTGAAGTATTTCCTTACTGCTTTGTTTTATACATTTACCACAGCATTCATGAGAAGGACATTTTTTGGAGGAGTTTCTCAAATATATTTAAAAGACAACAGAAGCAGTTTGGCTTGTAGTTCGTGGGCAGAGCAGAGAACAGAGGTCACATTTTTATCTTTTTATCCAAACTATCCTTGGACTCTGATGTTAACTTTTACAACATGCAGATATGTGCCAGGGATCTTGGATGTATTAAAACTTGGATTTTTGAGGCTAAATTAACAAGGAAGATTCATGTGGGGACACTAAACATCAGGCCTAACTTTGAGGTGCCAAGGATTCACAAAGGCTGGTTTAGGCATCTAGGCTACTTGCAGAGAGATGAGCATTTTAGAATTGGAATCACAAAGCCCGCTCGGCGATGCCTCACCAAAGGGGGAACATATTAAGCTAAGAGGCATATGTTAAGCATTTCCCCCTTTTTCTAAGACTGGGCCACAGGGAGGTAGGTGCCTTCTACCACATGGGAGTCTCATCTGTAAAAGCTTTCTCCGTGTGAAACGCCTGTGTTGTTTTTAGTAAGAAGCTCGCAGGGAGAGAAAGGAGGTAAAGCAGCACCTTCATAGTATTTAGCCCAGTATATTTAAGGTGCTCACCTGGGATGTGGAAAATCCGCCTGTCCCTGATGGGAAGAAGAGAAGGTTTGAACTGGGTTTTGCTGTCTCTCAGTTGAGCACCCTAATCACCCAGTTATTGGTTTTCTGACGTAGGACACTCTCTCCTGTTGAAGCTGTTGCCCTCAATGGGACAAAGAATGGAAGTATATGTGGGATTGACTCAGTAGCCTGGTGTTTAATGCACTACTCCAAAAGGAGGGATATCCAAAATTGACTCCCTCATCTCTAGTGACTTTATTTAAAACAAAAGTTATTTATCACATGTTGACAGGGGCGACAGCAAGAGCCCCACCCTAGAATGTACCATCGCCCAGTGGCTAAGGTGTGTACCTGAGAGGTGCCAGAGCCCAGTTCAAATCTGTTCTTTGCCTCAGTTGGAGGGTGATATTTAACTTGAGTCTCCCACATCACTGGTGAGTGCTCTAACCACTAGACTAAATGTAAGGAAGGTTGTTCTTCCCTGCCCCTTCCCTTGTATAAGCTTATCTGTAAGGACGTGATCTGGTAGCTGACCTCTGAACATGCTTTCCAGAGCAAGCCCTTCAGGTGAACCAGGCAAAGGAATGTTTGCTTCAGGGCTGAGGTGTCTAGATGCCTAGTGAGGGGCTACAGTGGGTGTGCTTAAGCAAAAACAGACACCTTCTGAACCTTGACTGCAGTTGAAATACTAAGCACATTTTGGTGACTACAGGTTATGGGGGCGGCTGAACAGGGACTTTGTGAATCCCAGTGTGGCCCAATTCTGAGATTTCGGTGTCCAAAGTGGCAGTTAGGCATTTCAGTCTTCTTGTGAATCTAGCCCTTGATTTCTTTTTGGGTTGGTCACATCTCATTCACCACAGACTTGCATATCTGAGATCAGGCTTTCCACAGTAGACTTTTCAAGATCCCTCTGTGATGATCCTTCTGCATTTAAGACTTCACTTCATGATTTATTTGAGAGCCCCAATCCCTCTTCCCCATCCCATCTTGTAAATTGTTTAGGTCCCATGCTGCAAAGACATAAGTAAGCACTTGCTTTGTTTTATATATTGAGAGTGGCTCCTTTTTCAATGGGACTGCTCAGCACATGTAAAGCTAATCGTGCTTCTGTCTGCTGTCTTCCCAGGATCATGAAATCATGAAATTTATGACAAAGGTTGTGCTGGCATCCCATGGAGCAACCTTCCCTCTCCATCCCCCCACACTCAGAGGCAGCAGCTTGGTGGGGGGGGCAGGTGCTTCCCCCCAGGACTGGTTCCTGCCTGTCCCCCCTCATTGCCTCTGTGATAGAGAGTCAGTAACCCAGGGATTTGGGGGCAAGTGGTTTATATGAGCCGATACACGTGGAGAGCTGGCTTGAAAGCCAGCTACCTGCGTGTACCGGCTTTCAGCTCCCCATCTTGCTGCCTCTGATACATGTGTTAAGCATTTCCCCTTTTTTCATATATAGGTGTCTAATATACGATACAGAGGCAGCAAGGGAGAGGGGAATGTGTGTAGTTGATAAGGTTAACTGATTAACTAATAAGCCTGGGCTAATCAAGTATTCAACTATGCTATGATTGACTGATTTATAAAGTGTCTTTTTTTTCCTAACCTTGAATATTTTTCCTACAAGTAAGTGGATTTTAAATCTTCCCTACAGAGAAACACATTCCAGGCTGTTTTAGCCTCCTCTGATGCCAGTTCCTATGCTGTTTTCCTTTATCCAGAAGATGGTTTGCAGTTCTATAGTGCGCACTCCAAGAATGCTGAAGAAAAGATACCTGCTACAGTTGGCTTCAGTCAGGCCTCCACAAACTACTTCTTGTGGATAAAACCAGGATCCTACAATATAGTTGCTAATGATGAAGAGTCCATCAGAAACCTGCATGAGTATGCCTTTAAAATAAATCAGTAAACCCCAATCCCAGTTCTTGTTCCTGTCTGATACGTTTTATGCAGTCTGTGATCTGAGAAAATGGAATAGCTAATAAGCTTTCATGTGCCACTGTATTAGAAATTGCAAAATCTGATCATAATTTAGAAGAACAAGATGCTTTTGGCCTAGATTTTTCAGTGTTGTGTGTAGTGTGAGCTACTGAGTGCTCAGCCGTTTTGAAAATTGGAAAATTTTCTGAGCCTAGCTTTAGGTATCCCTTTCTGAAAATTCTTGGTGCTGACGCTGAGATGTTGGGGGCACTGTCATGCCCTTCAGGTTGAAGTGAAGTTTTCATCTTCTACAAAGTTTACAGTTTGGTTCGATGGCTCTCAGCACCCTCAGTATACACTTTGTTCCCCCTGCCTCACTCTTTGTGGGGGAAAGGACAGGAAGGAAAGAGAGCGATTTAAAAAAGGTCAGAGTACTGCTATCAAGCTTAATTATAGCACCTTTTCCCCCAATCCTCCCTAACCTCCAGATAAGTACTAAAGCAGTTAGTTCCCACTGTAGATAAGTTGCTAATACTATAAGTTGCTAATACTATTCAAAATTTGAGCTGTGCCCTAAGATGCCGTTTATATAGGTGGATAAGATGTAGCTGTTTTGTACCACGATAATTCATTCAGTTGTAAGTGGTATTTATCACTGGAATATAGAATCAAATATGTACGGCTTTTCATGTAGAATTTATAACATTATATTTACCTGATGTCATGTTTAGTGTGGTTGTTCTCTCTTTCTAGGAGCAGCAATTCTGGAAGGAGAGGAATCTGGGTGTTTGAGATTGGTAGCTTATCTAATAGTATTGTGCCTGCCAAAATCAGCAGCAGTCCTGAATTTCATGATGAGGAACAGTATCAGGAAGTGACCTTAAAACCAGCTGTACGGCATCATGACTCAATGGAAATGAGCCATCAACAGGTATCATATGATGTTCCCAGCAGGAGAGGGGATCAACAACATATTACACATAGAGCTCCACAGTCAGCTTCAGAAGATGATTTGCAACCACAACATAAAGTTGTAATGCCAGAGACCCCTCTGAGAGAGTCCTCTTTCAATCAACAGCCAGAATTTGTCACTGGGAAAACTCCACCTCAGTTTCCAGTCCAGCAGTTCCCTCAGCAGTATCCTCAGGTTATAGACGTAGAAGATATTGAGGAAAGTGAGATTGGTAAGCTCATTTGTACTATTTAGGCAGTACTAGAGTTGGCACCTGACTCGTCTCCCCACCCCAACTACCTACTAAGGTGTTCACTCTGTCCTGAGACCGATTTACCCCCTTGTTTTCCACTTCCCCCATTAAAGGAATATGTGAATAAAAGATCCATGTGGATAGCATGAGCCACTCCTACAAAAGGCTGCAATTTAGGATTCCCTGTTTTCGTCTGGTAAAATGTTTTCTGCTAGCAATGCTACTTGTTAAGGCAATGAATATAGAAAACGTGAAACCAATTGTGCCATAGAAGAATGACAGGACTCCGAATGTTCCCTGGGGTCAGATTTGAGGGATAGTTATATTTGTGAACTTGGATGTGGGTTTTCAGTGGGTGCATGAGGTTTCCCTTCTGGTGTAGGCTGGAAACCAGTACATTTTACTGAGAATATTTGGGCAACTTAGTTACATATTGCAAGGCAAGAAAAAAATCTATTACAGTCATGTGCCCTTTCCCAAAAGCTGATCAAATGGCTAAAATGAAATTCTGACATTAACTCAGAATTGTGTTTAAAAACAACGAGCAGTCCTGTGGCCCCTTAGACTAACAAATATATTATACCATGAGCTTTTGTGAATAAAACCCACTTCATCAGATGAATTGGACTAATTGGCTCTATTGTGAATCTTTATAGATATTGTGGTTGTAATATAACATGGAGAATAATAGTTTGTTGGTCTTTCTTCCAACAGTGTTCCGTTACCATACAGATGCCCAACAGACCTGTGCCAACAACCGTCAACAGTGTTCCATTCATGCTGTTTGCAAAGACTATCCAAATGGGTATTGTTGCAGTTGTGTTGCTGGTTACAAAGGAAATGGCAGGCAGTGTGTAGCAGAAGGTAATTTTATTTTTTCAAAAGTATATAGCTGTTCTAGCATTTTGCATGAGACATTTAATGTAATTGTAATGTAATCAGGTTATATGGATACATAGGCAACTTTTTTTAAAATATTCTTTAGTACAGGAAAGGGTGAAGATGCCATATTTAAATGTTTTTATAAGTCATAGTTGAAAATCATTTAAGTAAAACTTCCTAAACTACCTTGGAAAATCTTAGGCCATGTCTATACTACCAAGTTATGTCAACAAAAGTTTTGTTGACACCCAGAAGTCAACAAAACAAAAATTGCTAAAGGATGTTCATACTTGCTCCCTCTGTCGACAGATCATGTCCACTTTGGGACGCCATTGATAATGTGAGCATTGCATGGTGGGGTAGGTATTCAACAGTATAGTCTTGTGGGAAGGCAAATCTGATTGCTCACGTTTTGGGGATTCCCTCCAAGTTCTCCCTCAGCCTCCTCAGCTGCCAGGAATGGCAACCTGAGTAGCTCTGTGGGCTCTCCTTGCTGAGGAATGTCAAAGAAGCACAGCAATCTCTTGCCCCTCCCTTCCTTCCTCCTCCTCCCCCCTCCCCAGCACTCTGCCTGCCTCTGTGTGCTAGTGCAGGGCAGAACAAGAGATTTCAATGCTTTGCTCTTTGTTCCCCAAAGGGAACACTCAGCTGTTAGATAACTTACCTGGGGCTTTGAAAGAGTTGGGGCACATGCCTTCAGGACAGCAAAGATCAAAGCACTGAGCACAGCCATCAGGAAAGGCATTGTGGGACACTGGTGGAAACCAGTTCTGTCAACAAAGAAACCAGCAGTGTCTATGCTGGCTTTTTGTTGAAAATAAAAGAAGGGGGAAAGGGAAAAAAAACCTCTCCTGGGGTAGAGGTTTTTTGTTGCCTACTGAAACCAGGCATTTTTCCCAACAAAAGCCACATTGCAGTGTAAATGCTCTCACTGTTTTGTCACCAAAAGGCAGTTTTGGTGACAAAACTTGGTAGCATAGATGAGACCTTAATTTTGCATATTACTCTGAAAGCTGTACGTAAACTCAATGTTCGGTTTAAGTGGACACATAATAAAGAAGATATCCATGATGAAGATGAGAATATAACTTAAGATGGCAAAAGCACTGCTCTTTGGAACCTATGCTCATAGCTGAAGTGCTTTCATACCATTGTCATTAGCGCTAAGTGCCTACTTGTTTTGCATGAAAGTGTATTTCTGACAGGCAAACCAAATTGCCCCATAGCTGCAGAGATTGCTTATGTAGGCAGGTCTCTCCTTGAAAGTAGGTTCTGAAAACAGATTTTTCCTTACACAATTACCCTTTTGGTCTGTAGTAGAATTAGCCATGAGCGGTGAGTTATATGGGCTTGTGGTGCCCAGGCTCCAGCAATATTTAGAGCCGGGGGCTCTGCTCCACCAATATTTGGAGCTGGGTCTCTCCCCTGGCTCTAAATATTGCTCCCCCCCCTCCCCGGCCCCAGAGCGTCCCCGGAGGAGAAGAGGACTTGTAATGGGGCGCCCGCAGTCCCAATGTGATGGAACGCAGGGGCTCCGCCACTGGTCACACCACGGCAAGCTGTCGCGGCAGGCTGGCCCCTCCCCTGTGCCCTTGCGGCGCATACGCAAACTGCGTGCCTGACGGGGTGCCGGGATGCAGAGGCCTTGCCCCTAGGCGAACGCTACAGTGAGCAGGCGTGGCGGGCCAGCCCCGCCCATGCACCCTTGTGGTGCATGCTTACGCCGCGCTGGGTATTTTAAATGACAGCGGCGTGGCAGGCAAGGGGAAGGGACTCGGCCCAGGCCCAGGCCCAGGCCTGAGGCAGTGAGGTGAGCTCAGGGAGGTGGCCACTCTCCTGCATCAGCCGGGACCCAGCAGGGTGATGCTGGGAGAGGAGAGGGTAAGGGTATTGGGGGCTAGAGAGGGATAGGGAAGGTGCTGGGAGAAGGTTTGAAAGAGGGGGTGGGAATGAGGAAGGTGGGGATGGAGCAAGTCATATGTGAGGGCACAAGGGCATGAGAGGAATGGGGGCAGAGGGTGGGCATCAGGGAAAAAGAGGACAAGGTAGGTAGGGGCAGTGTGAGGGAAGAGAGAGGTACCAGGAGGGTGCAGGTGCCAGGGGATTCTGGGGGTGAAGCAGAAGGGCAGACACCTGCAGGGGAGGGATCAGCACCAGAGGAGAGAGGCGAGGGAGGTGTTGGATGAGGAGGGGTAGCTCACATGATCAGAGTGGGGCTACTGGAGGAGTGGGCACAGAGGGGAGATAAGGGCTGGTGGAGGGGGGGGCAGGTTTCAGAAAGGCTGAGGGCAGTGAGAAGGACAGGAGTCAGGACAGCAGAGGAGGGGGAGGAGTGGGGGGGCAGCAGGCACCAGGGGAGCTGATAGAACAAGGGGAGAAGACATGGCAGCAGAGAGAAAAGGTAAAGGTTTAAAAATATGCATGAATAACAGTGCCACAGTGGCACATCCAAACAAGCCACATGAACTCAGTACTGGTGCACAACACAAAATTCATTCTGCTCATGGGAGGAAACTCTTAGGCTATGTCTACACCGGCGGTTTCTTGCGCAAGAACATCTTGCCCAAGAACATGCCCACACTACCATGTGCGAGCTGTGCTTTTGCACAAGAGCATCTATGGCAGTGTGGATTCTCTCTTGCCCAAGAAAGTTCCGATGGCCATTTTAGCCATAGAGGTTTCTTTTTTAATTGGCTAGCCATTCACAGTCTTTGTTTAATCCTGAGCTGATGGTGTCAAATTTGCCGATGAACTTCAGCTCAGCAGTTTCCCATTTTTGCGGAAGAGGCTCTTGCGCCAGAAGGAGCGTCTACACTACTCCTTCCTGCGCAAGAAAAACCGTCTTTCGCAATACCCTGATTCCTGAAAATAATCTGCATAGCGGCATTGTGCAAGAGGGTTTTTCTTGCGCAAGAAGGGGCAGTGTAGACGCTCCTTCTGGCGCAAGAGCCTCTTCCGCAAAAATGGTGGCTCATTAGATATGCAAATGAGGCTTGGTGATATTCCACACTTAGCCTTATTTGCATATTTTTGGTGCAACAACCCGCCAGTGTAGACATAGCCTTGGTGTGTAGCTGGAGGAAGAAAAGGAAGGAAACCCTCTTAAATTAATTGAAAAGCAGCAAGTACATATCCTGGTTCAGGATGAAACCATAAGAAAGCTGATGTTATGAGTCCTTTTTTTTTTTTTTTTTTAATTCTGTTTTACTTGTGCATTGGGGGGCCAGATGCCTTGTACATAAACATGACACTTTAATGGACAGTTGTCTTGTCACATTTTGGCCTCACTTCAGATTTTTTGAATAATTTATTTAGACTATTAGTTGAGATTGAGATACAGAGCACCAAGAACTACCGCTTCACTAATCTCCAGTAAAGTGTAGTATCTTACTTTGAGCAGACACACTGTGTTCCTGGGAACATTCTTAAGACTAAGGCCAGATCCACACTGCAAAGGAGAAGATTAGCTCAAACACGGCTCTAGCTACATAAATAACGTACCTTAAGCTGAGTGTGGTGTTGTTTCCACAGTGGGAGATCGATGGGTGAAATGCTCTCGTGGACTTATCAGTGCCAATGGGGGTACCCTCAGTGTTCGATTTAGTAGATCTTCAGTAGGCCTGCTAAATCAAACCCTTGACGATTGATCATTAGAGCATCAATCCTGTAAGTGGAGATGTGTCCTTTATTCGACTAACAAGTTGACAGTACTGCAGTGAGGTTCTCTCGTGCAACGTGCTGGCTAGAGAGTGTAGACTCTCGATAACGACTAGGCACCAGCTCTCTTTTGGGGTAATTGCAATGTGAACTGCTCCATAGTGTAAGCCTTTCTGAAAAGCCTTCACTGCACTAATATGAATGCTGACTCTGAATGCCAGATGGGTCCAAAAAAAGTACATTTTCCATGTAGTCATGGGGTCAAGAAAATATGTAAACCACAATCTGGAACACATGTTTAACAGAATAAACAATTAACAATCTGATGCTCTCTTTGTGTAGCCTAGTTCTCTTGCTTCCCTCCTCCCCTCACTCTATGCAAATAAGCAGATAAACTCAGAAGTGTTGCTCTGTAAATTTCACACAAGCAAATGGAAATCCTGCAGTCTTTGTCAGCACACTTCTTAAAATTGAACGAGTGTTTCTCAGGAAAATTAGCTACTTTAAATAGCATATATTTAGGAAGCCAGGGATTTGTTTGGTTGTACAGGTTGTTCCCTCTCATGTGCACGCCTGCACAGCCGCACACAGAAAATTCTAAGCCCGCCCACCTCTTTTCCCAGAGCTATGCAGCAGCACTCATCTGCCTGCTGGACCTGGAAGGTGAGTGGTATGGCTGCTCCCAGAGCCTGGGCTGTGTGGCTGGCAGAGGCTCCCGGGGGGGAGAGGGGGGGCAGGAGGCTGCTTGGGGGTGGCTGCTCTGGCAGCCAGAGATGCATTGTGGGGCAGCTGCTCCCGCTGCTGCCAGGGACTGAGGCTGCATGGTAGGGATGTGAACAACTAGCAAATGCTTATTGGATAGTCGACAAGATGCTTCCCCCTCCCCTTGCTGCCTCTATCAGAAAGAGGCAGCGGGGGGGTGGGGGAGGAAGAGAAGAGGGGATGCTTCAAAGCAGCAGTGCCAAGTGGAGCCTGGGGCCAGATCGTGGGCTCTGTGGGATGCTGCTGCTTTGAAATGATGCAGGGAGCATGGGGCCAGTGGGGGACTGCTTGAGTCCCCCACTGGCCCCCTGCTCCCTGCAGTGCTTTCGCCTTTGAGGTGTAGCATCAGCTGTTGCTACACTTCAAAGACGGACATGCCCTTACGGACTAATCATATAGTCGATGCAAATTGCATCGACTATTCAATTAGCCAGTTGATCTAAATTTAACATCCCTACTGTGTGGCAGGCTCAGGAAG